TTTGCATTATCTAAATCATGTTTTACTTTGAATATCAATGCACCAGCAAATAACCAAAGGGTGATATTTGGCTTTAGCAAAATAAAAAATTTAAAAAAAAAACCTCCCTCCCTCATCACTTTTCCTGCCCAGATAGGGTGATAAACTAATAATATTTTTTATGGGGCCTAATATACAACAGCCAAACCCGCAAAGATTGTGAAAATAGCGTTCTTATCTGTGAATATTGGCGCAAACAAGCTAACTACTTTGACCCCAGAGAAATGCTTGTATCTGATTGGCTTTCCCATAAAAGAGGTCACAGGTCACTGACGACCCCCTTGCAAGAGGCTGTTCACATCGAGAGCGAGCTGCATCAAGAGCGGCTTGTCGTGGGTCACCCACGACAAAAATCACTCTTCGCATGAAGGCCCAGCTCGCGAGCCTATTGTTCGCTTGCTCGCGACCTAAGACATGTGAATGCGGTAATAATCATACGTTAATGGTCTGTTTAATCAGTGACTACTACTGTACTTTAGCTTTCCCAGGTACATTTGCATGGAATGACTTTTTTACTTAATAATATGGATTTTCAAATAAACTGTCTTTCTATATTACTTACAAACAAATACTTGTTTTACTACAATATTTAAATCAGATTGAAAACAATGAGAGTGCAATGTACTACTGTATGTGTTATAAATGGATGCATAACAGAGAGCTATAGAGGCTTAGATCAAACATCAAGTGTTTTATCAACAAAGGCACAATTTGCTGAATATGGTACTGGCCATGGTCTGTAGTACGAAAGTATACGCTATGTCCAGTGACTCTACTTATATGCAGTGACCAGTGACTGACCATAATGGCTGTCCACATACAAACTAAGATTGCCAATGACCAGTGGTATGTCAAATGACCAATAAACATTTCCAAATGTAAAATTTTCTGTGCTATATAAATCCAGTGAGCACAAAAACTGATATTGTGCCCACATAAAAACTACGACTAGGCCTATAATTGTAGCGGTCAGTCAATGGCAAAACATTTGTATTAACTGTTCATACAAACTGTGTACCTAGGGACTACGGTACACCGTATGTACACATAAACTGACCATTATTAGACTGCATAACACAACAATCTGTTCTCAATTACAAAGACTTTTCTGCAGATGACGTGAATGTTAACTCAAACTTAATACCCAACATGCATCTTGATTGATAGCTTAGTGCAACTTTCTACCTGAATCTAAGAAGTACGATATTTCCATGATTTTTAGGAGGATATTATTAGATCATAAAAATCAAATAAATTATGCATGCACATTCACTAGTTTTCCTAAATTTGTTCAAAGTTTAAACATTGACGTAGTCTGCCAAAAATTCCTAGCATTTGATTTATCTACAGTAAAGTTATTCAATGTTATTGCATGTTTGATATATTGAAGTTTTAATTTAATTTTTATCTTTCATAGGCCCTTGAGTATGGAATCGATATTTGTGAGAGATTACAACCCAAAACTTTGGCATTGGAACGAGGCAGGTAAGGAGAGTAGAGTAACAAAAGAAAAAAAAAAAACAGGGGAAAAAAATCCAATGCAAAGCTGCAATATTTTTTGTAACAGATAGATAAACCGTGCTCTATCATTGGTACATCTTCATTTTTAATTCATTGCAATCTCAACTTTTGACCTTATGGCTAGATCATTTCCCTTCAACTGTGACCAATGTTTTGTCAACGGTACAATATCTGATTGTATATTAAAAGGTTTGTAGCGTGATTAGTGTACTGTATTCAGAAATGTCTGACAATATAAGACAAGGATTTTTGTGGTGAACCAAAAGGAACAAACCACAAAAAAATACAGAAATGTGGATAACTGTCTAAAAATGACACCTTTGATATCATTAGACTATGTACAGCCTGTACAAGTGCAAACTGAAGTCATGAACCGCTCTGTGAATGAACTAACATTCCGCACAATATTAAATATACTGAAACATGATTTTTACACCAAAATTTACCAACTCGTCATTTGATCATGTAGGCTTATAAGACATTGAAATTATTATAAGCATCATCAGGCATTTCATGCTCATTTTTTTTCATTGCAATTAATGTCCAAGGTAACAATTCAAAATAATTATCAAAATTATAGCATGGCAAAGAAAACCAAATCATAGCATGGAATGTTCACCTGGAAATTTTGCCTGTTTTTTTCATTAAGCAACAATATGGCAACAACAGGCTTTAATATGCTTCAACAGATAAACTGTTTGATATTACATCATTAAATATCTTTAAAATTAACAATGCCCCCCTGATTGGATTTTTTTCGGACTTTGCGGACCGCAAAACAGTTCTGTTACAATTACTTCTGTTTGCATTATAATTTTGTCTAAAGTTCGATTGGTTAAACTATAAAGCTAAAGGCAGCGTAAAACTGGAAATTGGATTGAATTTTTGAATAGTTCACACTAAAATGACTTATTAGTTAAGGTGGAAATGATTGCGCAGACATAGTGATTGACTGCAAGTAGTGCGCATTGAGAAAAGAAGGTGCTCTCCATTTCGCCATGTTCAGTTTTTTTGATAAACTAAGTCTGCCGAGCATTTGGTGGCCGGGAACACATTAGACTTCAAAGGCATTGTGCAAACATTCTGCACGCGCTGTGGCAGATTTGCCCTAGGCTCATTTGCATAGCGCTGTGTAAGCAGAGATTTTTCGAGTGATCTCCTTCTCAATAAGAACTCCACGGTTTAATGCACTTGTCAATTGTAGTCCCGGTCCTCCCGGACCCGGGCCATAGCGGGGCACTAGCAGGGACTGCACCGGGGATGTACACATACTTGTGTCCCCGTAGTGCCGGGACGTACAGTACCTAAAATTTACCCGATGTAACCGGTCTCAAAAGAGTAGCGAGGGGTTTCGAGTGTGAGTGCTGTCAAACCGGGTCTGGTCCTACCAGCCTACAAAATTGGCCTAGGCACACAGCAATTAATGTGTGTTTTGGTAATTAAAAAATCGCCTACCGGTTCTAGGCCTACCATCATGGTTTCATTTTTTATAGATCACGGCATAAATTACATAATAAAATTCTAACCTCACAACGACGAGTTGCCTGAAAATTTGTAAACCATGTATTTGACTTAGTTTGTACCAGTGAGCCAAGGCAAGGAAATCTGTTTCTACTACTTGTTCTGTTTTGATACTGAATAAATTCAATCAATCAGTTAAATCAATCAATCAATTTTCTTTTTTTATGATCTATCAATTCACTCCTTTTTTTCGCACTTTTCCCAACTTTCATGGAAATCTGCCTAGTGATACACATGCGTAGTGCTCCCATCAAGCAAGCTCATTTGGCATAGCTCCTGCCTGGCTCTCATGTGCTTCTCCGATTCAGACATAGGTTAGAGACCCTCAAGTAGGCCTTATCATGCTAATCATTTATTAGCGGGCATTTAACCGGCACTGTGAAATATTTCCCAGCGGTAGGTGCCGGGGACTTAGGCGGGAATGTACGTTAAATCGATGCCCCGCATTGCTGGGAGGTGGCCAGGACTTTCACATGCATGTAAGCGTTTCGGAAATTACATCCCCGGCTAAGTCCCCGCTAGGCCCGGGGGAGGGGGGACTACAATTGACAAGTGCATTACAGTATACTTAATTGTTTTAAAACAACTGTATCAGCCAATTGTATGTGACAAACACATGTGACATGCCTAAATATGGTCATGATGACATCACATAATGACCAATTAAGTAAACTAGAAATTTAAGCTTCATACAATATTTTTACATAACGCTAATTTAGGATTTACTAGAGGTTTATGAATGAACGGTCAACTTACACATCCAGAGAATCAAATTTAGTGAAAGTGTATTGTAATAAAGTTTTTAAAAAAAGCACACTTTATTTCTTTTTTTTTCAATTCCATAAGTTAATATTGACTTTCATTAGCCTTATTATACAGTATTCTATATATTTTGACTCCAGCTTTCCAGTTTCTATTGCATTGCAGAAATTGTTGACCCTCCAGTGGTGGATCCGTGGGGGGGGGGATGGGGTTCAGTCGGTTCGGAAGAAACGTAAAAAAAGTACTACTGGGTCTTGGCTTACAAAAGGCATCCTAACCTACCTAGGCATAGGTCGGCAGATCGGACAAAGACTTAGCCCAACTAGCCTTCAATTAAATAAAATTAAAAACACTGCTTTTGGCTCGACGTAATAATGAAAGAAGGTTTGTTTTCAGGTCTATCGGTTCATCGATCTATGAATGAAAGCTACCTGTCCAACTACTAAATATTGTTGGAATATAGCTGGCCTAATAATATATTGCCTGTGTCTTTGATTTTTTTTCTCCAAGGAATAGGCCTAAGAATGAGATAAAAACCACCTTCCTTCAGAGGGGGAAAACCTTGAATTTTGGAGAAATTAAAGGTCATTAAAAGACACCTCAGAAGTCGGGAAAGCTCATTTCCGACAATCTAGGAATCAAAATTCCCCCTTTTATTTATTTATTTTTTTCAAACATGTTGAACCCCCCTCTTTCAAATCCTGGATCTGCCCCTGATCCTCAAAATTATATTTAAGAAAAACTTTGAGGAGATGCAGATGTTTACAATGAATTTGTATGTAAACTGTACGACTCTCAAAACTCTCTTGGAGTCTAGACCTAGAACCTAGCTAAGCCTAGACCTACACCCTTAATTAAGGATTAGACTAAATAGAAGGCCTACTTACTACTAGGCTACTACTACACTAGGCCCTAGCCTAGGCCTAGTTACAAAAAAAAAAATCATTACATTTTGTCAAAATATAACAAAATTATTAAATTATAACCATATATAAAAAAAGTGTCCGGTACAGTTATTCTAGGCATGATAGTTATTTACAACACCTAGCTAGGCCTAACCTACTCATACTGTAAATTAACAATGCTCATCCAAGGGGAAAGAAGGCCGTCTCACAGGCGACCTCCGCCAGTAATTACCCTGGCCAATTGCTTTTTACCTGTATATCCTGAGTGATTTCGGTTTCATCCAATAACTTGATACAACAAAAGTAATCTCTCTGTTTACGTCTGAAACAATCCATTCTCTCTCTTTTTCGTTGAAACACAGTTTCGCGTTAATATATATGGAATGTCATTGCGAATTTTAGTTATTCCCATCAATAATTATTCGGAGGTATTCGTACAGCTTATCGGGAAAATGTGTATGTTTACTAACTGGCTTCAGCAATGATGTCATTGATTATGTAAATAATGAGCTCAGTGAAGCATGCTCCTGTGTGCGTCTTAAAATCACTTTACTGAAATGTATACGTACAACATAACTGTAATCTAAATTCTCTCTATGCAGTACTTTCTTGGTCTACTGAGAGGCTCAACTTCCATTTGAAAATCAATTCGTAACTTCCATACACCATCATACACTTTTCAGGCAAGCTCCTGTTCAGTTGCGGTAGGTATAGTATTAATAGCGCACACCTTCTTTGAACGCCCCGCTATTGGTAATTAAAGAGGGCGACATTTAACAATTTTCTGTCATCAGGACGCGATTTTCTATTCGTTTGGACGCGATTTGTTAAATTATGCCAGAATTATTATTTATTTATTTATTTATTATTATTATTATTATTATTATTATTATTATTATTATTATTATAGACCGTATTCGACTGATCGTTCTTCGTTAAACCACGCCCACCTGCGCAGTGGTAAAATCCTACTTAACAAAGACGACCAGTCGAATAGAAAACTGGTAAATAAATACTCGACAAAACAAAATGGCTGCATAGTTACCGCGATACGCGCTGCGTAATCAAGGCTGCTTCAGATTTTGGCACTATGGGTTTTTCGTAAAAAAAATGTTTTCATCCAGTTTTTGGAATTCTGTTAGCCTACAATTATTTTTTGACTTCAATGTGTGGGTAAATATTATAATTTTTATTTTCTGAAATTTTATCAAAATTATATTAACGCAAATGTTGTTGCTAAACTGACCAATCAGCCATTTTTTTGGTCACGTGCGTAACTTAACGCTGATTAACGCATTCTGGAATACGTTAATTTTCGTTGTCAAAGAAGTCTATTTTACGAACCAGTCGAATGAAAATAATACCCAACGAAAATTCGTACTCAACGAAATGAACCAGTCGAATAAGCCCATTT